TTGATAAGAACCAAGTCCACAATCACCTACGGTCTCCAGTTTTCCTAGCGGAGGTACAACTCGATTTTTCAAAGTTACTCTGGCAGATATGCTGTTAATAATGCAAGTTCATTCATAAAAGGAAGACGAAAAAGCATTTCAAAAGAGGATTAAGTGAAAACTTAATCGTAGGACAAGGACGACAATTTATCGCTTCAAATAGAAACTCAAATCTTGTAATCATCATATATATAAATCTTTCGAAGTAACAAAGGAAACCATCGATTCACTCATTGTAAAATTGCTTCAATTACAGCTAATGTTGTTTTATGTTAAAATTCTATGCTGTCTTTGGAAACAACCAAACAACGACATTACAGCCTCCCCCAAAACAACTAAACTTCCAGAAATTGAAATTTACCGACATAACTGGATAAAACCGTGACTGCAAACAACAAAATATAATAAATGAAGAATAATCAATTATAATTTAGCAGAAATTAATGAATTTCTAAAATTCTCTGAAGACAAAATAATCAGTATGGAAACAATATATAACTGTGCAAAAAACAACATATACTTTAGCTGGTCATCATGAATATTACCTCTTTCGCAGCCAAAGTGGAAATTGTGCAGAAAAATGAAAACGAATCCTGCTGCTCCAGCTCATACCAATCGTTACTGTCTTCCCTTGAACTTCTCAATCGTTTTCAAAAAAGCACGAAAAAATTGAGAATGAACAAGATAAGGATAATATGTAATTACCACCCCTAGCTTTTCCGGAAACTGAGCAAATCTCGCACAGAGTATGCAATAAATGAAATGAAGATCCAGGGGATAAACTAACTTAAAAGAACTGAAATCCTCGACCAGTTAGCTCATTTAAGAGATGTTGGTGTTACTTGCAGGCTAAGGGAATATTCTTAGTACCCAAGATCCCATTCGTAAAAGCAGGAAATGTGATACAGTACAAAACCAAATAAGCTCCAAATTAGGCATAATCGTCATTTCGCTCAATTTACGAGAGCTACATGAAATCTTGGATCAGTTCGCTGACTGTGGTAACGACGGGTTGCCGTGCTGTTGCTGTTTAGTTACAGCTTGATGGTGCAACATATGATATTGATCCAAGTAATGCTGCGGCGATGCCAGAGTACTCTTCTCGCCTGGAATTGGATCAATATTGGAAGTCCTAACGGTGAAGTATGAGCTGTAGAAATCACAACAAAATTATCTAAAGCTTAAGTTATGCATCACTGTTACCTGACTTCATTTATGAGAATGCATAAAATTCGGAATAGTTTTCAAATTGCTGCATTAGTGGAGAAATATGATGAGTCATTCATTTCATGTTAGCCCCGAAACAGATCTTTCCAGTACTAAATTAGATTAAATCTGAGAAAAAGGTCCTCAAATTCGATAGAATACAACCGAATTTTCAAGTTGATCTTTTTTTCTCGGAAAAAAAAGGTTTAGCACTTATTAGTAACAGTTTATTATTCGTTTCAAAACAAAATTATATTCACCTGGTTCAGGGAAAGCTGGTTCACAAAGGGACGTATAATAAAGCTCTAACATTTGATGCATAGTAGCCGATAAATTTTGGTGCGAATTGTTTTGCTGCACCGACTGCCCTGTTTGCTGATTTCGCTGAAATAAGATTGATGTGGCATTTATTTTTCCCAACTATAATAATGGTAGCACAGTGCTACCAATTTTTATTACTAAAATAATATGGGTTATTTGCCGAATCTTATTTTCACTATTCAAAGACTGAAAGGTATGACGTTTTTTTTTGACCCGTTTTTCACGTACTTTTAATAAAGAGAAAAGAGTTGTCAAATGAAAACAGTATACATTTTATCTAAATTAATTCCGATTCTTCTAAATTTATTCTACAAAGACTTCTTTCTTTATACATTCCTTTTACAATTTCCTTCATGAAGCAATTTTCAGCAATTTCAAAGCTTACTTGAGATAGGTGTTGTGGTGTCCGTACATTAACTGCTTGTGCTAGTATAACTGTTCCTGGAGGAGCTGAGGTGAGCGCTACAAGTACAAAATTTTATGAAAATAGCTCTCACAAGGAATGATTTTTAAATTCAAAATTTAAATTGAGAAATAACTAAACTAGCAGATAAGGTGATAATTCGGAATGTTTTGAATTTAGGTAAGATCTAAAAAAACTCACTCTGCGCCGGAACTTGAGCATATACAACATTACCGTTGACGCATCCATCTGAAAACTTTTTAGCATTCAACACCAATTACAAATTATTTTGCCTGAACAAAACAGGTTCAAGAAGCAGCAGTGAAAGTAATAGCCCACTTTCACCCAACCACTTGATTAAATTACATGACTTCTTTAATATAACAAATCAGATATTACTTAATGAAAATTCTCCTTGATAAACAAATTACTCGGGAAGAAATTTAAAGAAAGCAGTTCTGAGATGAACATTTATCAGTTATATGACGTAAAACAACATGCATGAATGGCTAAACAAAAGTTTACTGATTTTCGCTGTTGATGACGCAGCAAATGCCACTGGTGTTGCACTTTCATTACTGAGTGGTGTACTCGGTGCAGTATCAAAAGTCATATTTGGTGGCTCCGTTTTCATCAGGATCTTGGATAATTTCTTTCGCTGTGGATGATAAACCAAATTCGGATTGTCCTTCAAAGCCTGCAATAAATTGAATAGCTTTTCAATCAGAAATGTTGGGAAAAAAAATGAAAAAGAAAAAACAAGTGAATACCACAAATAGAACTATCGAGGAAATCAGAGCAGCACATCTACTAGGGTGAAATAACTATTTCAACAATCTAGAGTTGTTGGAAAATGATTACAGTCATATCTATCTAATCATTTCTTTTAAAGCATAAGCTACTTTGCCAATTTCGTAAAAACGCCCGGCTGAGCCACAAGCTGCAACCTAATTTGTTTGTTGTCAAACGAAAGACAGCCTCAACACCACTTCGAAAGCAGGCTAATAAAAAAATTGCACGAACTAGGAAACAGTAGTGAAAGCACCAGATAAACAAGCGCTGACAAACACCCACACACAGGCATACATACACACAGACAAACACAAACATACACATACACACTAACACAAATATATCCCAAGACAGAGGTCTGTCTCTGTGCAAAGAAGGGGAAGCGCACCATCCCCACCCACTGAGAAAATGCTTCTCGAAATTATGTACGCTCTCTTGCAACTGCCTTACTCCCTTCGTTCGCGCTCCACCGTTCGTCCATGTCCATCCATCCAGATATCCTCCAAACATCCTATACCGGAAGGGATTATACCGTCACAAGAATCATTCTTTACTCTTGAAATCCCGAAAATGTTTCCAACGATTTTCAAATGGAAAAGTTCGTGAGAAAAAAGAAATAATATGAACACTTCATTCTACCAACACGGAACAAGGAAAGATAATAAGCCACATTTGGCCGGAGACATTATAGTGACACATGGCTACAACACAATCAGGGTTATACCAGTGATTCACAAACTCCTCAGCAATCGTATAAGGAAAGAAATTTGAGAGTGACAAGTCAAAGAGTTCAGACACCTATCTTATGGCTTTAAGAAAACTTGCTCAGCATATAAGAGCGGAATCCCGTTTAAAAGTTTTATTTTCATAACCACTGAACAGTAAAATTCATACAACTTCATTTATTTGCTTCATAAATGCATCATGACCCTAACCAGTCACTAATTTCGTCAAAAATAAAATACGCACAATTTTTTTCACTTTGTCCATTGGTATTTGAAAAAGATTTCAAAAAAATTATTTAAAAAAACACGCCGTGAATGCTGGATGAACTGGTAACGATGGAAAAATGTAAGATCGATAAACAAAACACTTCATGGAGTGACTTCGGTGTTGTTAAACTATCCTAATTTATGAAGATGAACTAGTAAACACTGCTTTGACATATTGCCACCAAAAGACTGTATCGAGACGAGGTTATGGCCGGCAATCTTTTGCAATGAAATGAGCACAACACGCACATATACACAGACATAGGAAGATGCACTATGGTAGCTACTGACGCAAAGTGACTAAACTGAACCAAACAGCACCTGAAGACAGCTATATAGAAGTGCTTTGTTTAAGTTTATATATGTGGGTATACTTGCGTTTGTGTTGTGTGTTAACGTGGATGAGTAACTATATATATATATGTATATATATTATATGTATACCTGTGTGTGGTTGCGGTGCACATTCGTGTATGCGAGCGTATATGTGCATGTGTATACGTTCCGTGCTTTTACTATGACCTCCCTAGCTCAAACACAACTTGTCAGTGTGCTCGCCATGTTTTAAAATATATCTAGAAGAGTGTGAATTTTACCGCCATCCCTGTGATACCTGCGAGAACCCATGATTGCTTCCATAGTAACGCAACAGTCGCGAAATATTTACATGCGGGCCGAAATTATTAAATAACAAAAAAATAACTCTTATCAAATTCAGCAAGCAAGTATAAAATATTCCCTAAAGACAACTGCTCCTGAAACAGACCACTAAGACATAAAAAATGAGGAACTCTGAAATAAAAGTTTCTCTTAAACTTGCACTTGCGAAGGTAGGAAAAAAGTTAGCACTAAAATATAATTTAGCTTGCCCAAGAAAAATAGAATGGAAGTGGTCAGATTGATAATAACACACCCGTTTTAAGGTTCTCATAACTACTGCCTACCAAATTCTATTCCTCTAATGCCCGAATGTAAAATCTGAACATAAAAAAAGTTACACTAAAATCAAAATAATATGAAAAGCATAAAAAAATCACCCACTTTTTTGTGATCTAACCGATTCTGTTTGGATGCTTCAAAATATTGCCGTTTTTCCTTTTCACTCATGTTTTTCCACTTTTCGCCCATCTAAAATAAAAATTATATACCTCTAAATCCTTTTTGAGCAGCTAATCAATCCTGAATATCCTGAAAACATGCTTACAATTCTGCTTGCTTCATGCATTTTCATATTTGGATTCAAAGCCAGCAACTTCTTTCGTTCTTGTTTCGTGAATATCATATAAGCGTTCAGAGGTCTTCTAATGAATTGATGGTCGTCTGCAATAGTATGTATATTTCGTACAACTTTTGTCCAAATTTATCTTTCAGGACAGAAGGGAATAAACAAAGATGGTGACAATTAAATGTATATTTTACTGTTCATTGAGCTTTTTACAAGTACTTTGTACAGTATTTTTCATTAATTATAAATGTAGAGATGTGTAGCTAAGGAATGGAAAACTTAAATAAGTGGGAAAGGGAAACCTTAAAAATAAAAACACTGCGGTATTTTGATTAAAACCAATTTTAGTATTTAACAGAAACCTGCAGGAGAAGCGGATTGTATACGATGCATATAAATGTTGTTCGGCAAACTAACAACATGCGATGGACTTTCCACCCTAGCATTCTCGCCAACACTGCTTTGATATCTGAAATGCAATGTCATGAAATAGTAGAAAGTACAATTCTTTACCCAAAAAGTAACCGTCAGAATCCCAAATTACTAAAATTATGTGGTTGGCATACCGTGTATGCAACATTATTTGACGACACGCCGTACGAATGCACTATGTTTTTCCGGAGATGTGAATTCATTTTTCTACATCCCGTTCGGGATTTCTTGAACTAATCTTTCTAACCAATGCTAGTTAGTCTCCGATGAATTCTATTACTCTTTTCCAGTTGGCTAATTTCCCTGGAGACAATACTCTCTCACACCATAATTACAAAAGCTTCCCCCAATGACAACTCTGACAGCCAAAACATAAGAGCACCTGGTTTCATGTAATAAATCCGAAATTGACAGAAAGATATAAAACAGAAAGAGCTAGGAGAATGCCCAAGAAAAACTTTGAAAAAGGTTGAGTTGTACAAAAGATTTCGAAAATATTACACGAATTTCTAACAATCTGACCAGAGAAATAACTTGACTGCTTGCATCGAACTCTTTCTTTGTTAAACGAGCAATCTTACCAAACCAATGATAACACTTCATTAACCAATTCCAGTGACGTTTGTTCACCATAATTTACGCAATGGTCAGAGAAAAAAATACCCATTAAAATAGGCTCCTTGACTGTCGGGTAGTGAGGATGACGCCGCTGGTGAAGATGATTCGCTAGTGGAAACCAATGGGGTCGAGCTGCGACTCTCATCCACGGACATTCAATCCCCTGCATGATTCGAAATGCTTACGTGATAAAGTTCCATGCGACGCAAGCATGTTTTCAATATAGGAAGGGTATAACATGGTAGTGGGAATGACAAATAAAGCAATTTTGACCGAAACAGCATAAATTTATAAATAAAAATGGTTGTAACAGGGAAACTATAAATTTTAGTGTCTTTCTGTGAGGAAGTTTTTTTTTCGGAAATTGATTTGGTCTTGAACTTTGAAATCCCGTAGAAGATGAGTATTCTTCACAGAATATGGTGTGAAACGGTTGGGAACAAGTATGATATATGTTACAAGATATGTGTCGATTTTGCAAGTGACTGTAACATGCAGAGACACGTTCCATCCAGCATAACATATTCTTGACTGACTAGTCCAGCAAGCATCATTTCTCCCTAGTCTATCGAGGAATACAGGAACTGTCGCATATAATAGCCTTCCTAATGCTACAAGTACACGATGCGACCTCCAGTTCTGGTGAAACGAGCATAAAATTTTATGCATGACAAAGTTTGCTTAATTGACGTACTTCCCATACAAATAATATGTATTTGTGGCAAGACTATCAACATCTAATTAAAACAATTAAATCATCAAATGATGATGACTGCATAAGATAAAAACAGCAATATTGGGCATAATATGAAAACTGGAGAAAGCGTAAAAATGTATTTCCAACTCAAAATCTCCCTAAAATTTGAAAAGGAAACCAGTCAATATTTAAGCAAGACTACCAAGTTCGGTATGAAAGGAACCAACGACCCCTAACCTTTAACCTTATAACCCTCCCCTCCCTTTTCCAACCTTCACCCTCCACTCAGACCTCTTCATGTGCACACCACGCGCAATACAAACAGATGACATATCATGGAGTCACTGACACCATGTTATCCCTATGGGTTTTTTACGATCTATTGCAGCACTATATTATTACATCATAACTTTTTGTAATTGTCATTAAATGATTAACTCTTCTAACTATTCCATGATATTATCATTTTATGAATGGAAATGCGACCGTTATTTTAGCATCTAATGAAGAACAAATGTAATTAGTTTATTGATATTAATTGCATCGATATAATAAATGTATGACATTTGATTGATAAGCTTATCGGCTAACATAGCTACATGATATTTCATTTATGAAGGGAGTAGTCCATCCATTAATTGATCCATTCGTCGTTTGATTCTACTTGACATTGCTTTAAATTAACGTTTGAAAATTTTAAACTGTTTAATGCCTCGAGAAAAAAAAAGGGGGATTTAACTAACCAGTTCTATGTAGTTTCTGTTTTCATTCACATTTAATATTCATTTTATCCTCTGCCGGATACATTTATAAGTGGAAATAAGGCGAGAAGCAAAATATTCATTCATGTACTCAGTTTATCTCTGTCTCCTCTCTCCCTCTCTCTCCCTCTCTCTCTTTCTCTCTCTTTCTCCTTTTATGGTGAAAGATTTTTGTACTTAGTTGAAAGGTTTTTAAATTTCTAAATTTCTCAAAACTTTTCAAATTTGATTTTGAAAATAAATTTTATCGTGAAAGATTGGAATTTCGATTTCTATCTTTCTATATTCGAATTTAATTAAATAATGTTAGAATTTTATAGTAACGTATGATTGAATATAAGACGAATCATAGTTATGCGGTAGAGCTTCTTATCTTATCAAATTTGTTCTCTAAGCTTATTGCATTAGTGCTTAATATTTGTAAAACTAAATATTCGAAAAAAAGAAAAGATAAAGAGTCGATTGTTTCATCATTTATCGTAGGTAAATCACCTGGATAATACACATTTATCGAATAATCAATATAACCAGAAATAGTTGAAATTTAAATTCACCAAATATTCAAATATGAAATGTAAAACATTTCTATACTTTTATGCTAATGAAATGTAAATATTTATGAAAAAGGGAAGGATTTGCTATTAGTACGTGTCAAATGATAATTGCATTGAATAAGAGAGATTTCATCCATCACTAATTATTTTGATAAATAATTAGCAATTTACTCAAACTATTAATAGCTCATAAATGCCTTAAAACAAACAATTTTCACATATTTTAATATAATTTAAAAAAAGGTTTCTCTACAGGTATATGTAAGGTTTGATAGCCATCGATTAGTGGACAATTATTCAATGAATGATGACAAAATAATTGAGAGATGAATAGATTATATGGAAAGAATATCGATCGATAAATAATGGCAAAATATGAAGCTTTTGATTGTGATCATTATTTATTTAATGAATGAATTTACTGTTTCATAGCAAAATTATCATTGATTTTTCATCTGATGACTAATTAAATTTTAGCGACAAACATCAAGGAAATTTGTATGTATCAATTCAATTTATAATTTCACAAATTTTTGAAAAAAATAAATTTGATAGTCTTAAATTGAACATTTCTGTTAAGGTAACAATTCTTAAAAAAAAAAAAAAACAAAAATATTGATTTTGTTAAAAGATATGGAATGATTTGTTAATCAATCATATCTATTCTAAGTTTGATCATTAAAGTTCATTTTATTTTGCTATGCATCATTTTGATAATGAATGTAGTTTGATACAACTATCACTAATCGTTTCATCGATTGATCATCATTGTGAGCCACCTCTAAGTAGATATTTTATTGTATAAATGTAGTCGTGATGACATTTGTCATCAGAAAATATTGTTTCAGTTATTGCCTGAATAATTTTTTTCATGAAATTCTTCGAAATCATTTGATTTTCTATACATGAAACAATATAATATTAATCACCTAGAAATTATCATCTATCCTAATTCAAATGAACATTTTAATTAAACATATTGCAAAATCAATTTAATTTTTATGAAATTTAAAAAAAAAGAAATTTCAAACAAATTTGGAAAAAAAATTCATGCTTTTACAAATGATTTTCTATGATATGATGATGATGATGATGATGGAATAATCCAAAAGAAATGTTCGAATGATGAAATTGAAAAAAGATTAAATAGTCTCAATTACTTTTATTCATTTACTGCAAATATTTTCTAGAAACTTTTCCAGTAAATTACACGAAAGTTTATCATACCATGAATTTCCGTCATCAAATTCACTGCAAATTACACTATTATAATAAATTTCAAATAACATAAGGAATATGGATGTAAAGATGAGATGAAAAATTGAAAAGGAAGAATTGAACCATACTATTATTAAAAATGATCTTCGAAAGTTAAGCAAGATTAGTTTCTTTAGATTTGAGTCCATTTCTATTTGAGTTAAACAAAAATCAATTCATTGTTATTTTCCTAATTACAGTTCTGCCTACCACATTCAACTCCCATCACATTTTTCAGTGATACTGAATTCCAACCGGTTCTTTAAACTTTTATAGTCAACAATTTTCTTAATGGTAAATCTCACAATGAATCATTTCAGAACAACTAATAATTGCAAGGTTTTTTCTTTTTTTAATCCTAACAAAGACGAATCTATATACTGTACACAGTATAATGTCGTTTCAGGGATTTGTTGATATTATGTTGAATTTTAATTTGAAATATTGCGACATAATAATATCACATTACCCTTTACAATGTGATTTAGTCGAAATGTATCAAATAATCTCAAATAATGATTTCGACAATGATTCACACCTCTTGCTTAATGTGATATCTATTAGCTATTTGAATTTCATTTAGAGAAAAAAATTTTTCTCTTTAGCAAAAGAAAAATACTTTATTCCTTGACCCATTAAAGCAAAATTTCTTATCGCAAAGCATCGAAAGTTCTCCAAACATTGTGGGAAAGCCATTTAATTGTCACGGATTGTACGAATCAAACAATATCGAAAGTATCCCCTGTTGGCAATAGTATGTTCACATAGCATTTGTATGTTATTGTTTAAATAGATTTTAGTTGACAAAAGACTTGAAAATAAGAGATAATATGGTGTTACATTCCTTCATTCTTAACTTTCGCCTACATTAGTCTTTTGTCAATGCGAAAACCTCTCAGTATATTGATCATCGTTTCTGTAAATGACAATTCGTTGCTGTACTTTTGCAGTCAAGTAAAATATTTAATCCTTTTTACAAAAACGGCGCCGGTAAATGTTACCAATGATTACAATGATTCAGTGAGCAGAAAATATCCTTCGGTATCAATATTAAATATACTGGTGAAGATGTGATATTCTCGGCATCATTACTAAACACGAAAAATCAACAAAACATCACGAAATTGGTCTCTTTATCCTTTTCAAGCAATATATGATTACTGTGGTTACAAAGCGATTTTTTCTATATTCTTATTCTCTTCGCCAAACTTGAAGCCACCGTTGTTTCTCACTTTCCACATTTCAGAATACCAGTGTCCATCTGTCACTAATTTTATTGCGAAATTAAGATCCCTAAAGCTATGCGATATGGAATATTGGATTTTTAAGACTTTTTAGCCCATGCTGTGATGAAAGTGAGAACAATTTTGTGCCGACATTTCATTGCAGATATCATTAGTATCCTATCAATATATGTAGCAATATTTGCACTAGTTAGTGCAGATTCATTCTAGGAACTCATAATGCCACGAACAAAATATTAAAAAAAGATACTGAGCTCAATCCCAACGTTGCCTAACAATTAGTTCTTTCAAACTGCTTTCGATAGTTCGATGTTCATGCAACAGATTACCAACATTCGCTCTCGCTTTCAACACCTTACCACTTCCAACAATTCTCTTTTTAGGTTTCCCTGGCATGCGACGTTGTTCTATTTCTAAAAGCTCTTTCTCCCGCTGTTCCGCAGACGTACCATATTTCTTAATATATTCACGTTCCATCTCCTGAAAAATTATAAGAAATGATACAAAATAAAAACATACTGTATAACGAAGGGTCACTGTTAAAAATCAAATTCGCTCTCACAGGTGCAAAATAATATCCAAATAATACGCTATGGTCTATGTTCTTGAAGAACATAGACCATAGCATACTGAAAATGGATAGCTTATCATATTTTTCAGTATGATCGGGTAACTATCTGTTTCAAAACTATCGGAACTATCCGTTTCATCAAAACTAAACCAACGTTACTGATATGAAAAATACATAGACAAGGATGGATTTTATGCCACTTTTCAGCTTAATTTACTCCAAATTAAACATTTTATTAAACGTCCTTGAACGATATCAGGCTCAAAATCTTTCGTAACAAAATCCTTTAATCAAAAAAAAAGGATGAAAAGTAATGCCTAACAGAAATAAGAGAAACCTTGGTAAGGTAAGGTGTTGCAAGGCACTTCATTACTTCATATTCCAGTTTCATTTTATCCTGTAATTGTCTGATGGCATTGCTACTAATCGGATAATCCGGTCTGCCTTTTCTGAAAGCGATAGGTAATTGCACGAAAACTGTGACACAAAAAAAAACATATCGAGATCTCTCATATACCACTGCTTGACATCAGCTCTCTTTTTTCTCCTTTTACCTCTGGACCTTATATTCCCTTCTACAACCAAAAAAACCACATATTTTTGAAACACATACATTTTCAGTTTCGGAAGAGGAGGCCCACGATATCCGATTTCCCAAACACGACGATTCCATTCAGGTATATTTAAATTCTTCCGTAAGAAAGCCGTCAATCGCATAACTTTTTTTATGTCACAGATCAATCATCTATACCATTCTTTAGCTTCGGTCCTTGAAGTACTATACGCATTTACGCAGGAACTTACATCTTACACCCGAAAAACGAATCACTTTAATTTTTTTGTTTCTATAAGCAAGTTTTTATACCAATAACAGTTTACCGAATTAATGAAGGTCATATTCTTTTAAAAAATGCAGAAACCCTAAGATTTCAATTCTCTTTCCTATGAGATAGAATTATAGAAATGGTAAATCTTGACAGCTACAAAAAGTGGTCTCCTGTATTTTCGTAATTTAAAAAAAAAAAAGAAGAGTAAAGAGCGAATTTCAACCTTCTTGAACCGATCTTTCCACCGATTAGGGTTGAATTCTGGAATAATTTAAATTCCTTCACAGAAAAGATCCGACACAAATAACAATCTGCTCATAAAACATGTAATAAAAGCCAAGCACAAAAAATACGGACGTTTCATATTTATTGCAATTATATTAATACATCACAGTATAAATCCACCATAAGCAATATTTAATTCCAAAAAGTTGTTTTATAATCAAAGCCTACGCTTGGATATTCAAATCACAGACGATCTCAACACTAGGAAATAGTTCGTATAAATGGGAATTTTTCCTTTAAAAAAGTGCACAAAATTGGGCAATTTCAGTTAATCTCACAAAGTCTACGCCATCACCAATATTTAGAACTCAAAATTATCTCATCTTCGTTCTAGTCAAAAAACGTGAGGTATCTGAACAGGATAGGCAGTTTTTCAGCATTTATTGCAATATATCAGTTTTAAATAAAAATGTGCAGTAAGAGCTTAACAAATTGGCACAAACTTACAAATAAATTTTGAAGACAAACATCCACAACCTAACCGAGAATTCAGGAACTTAGAGGATAAAATAGAAGTGAAATTAATTCAGATATTCAGCTTCACTGATTATAGATGTCGAGTTGGTCCAGCACTACCGACACGAGCTGGACCAGCACTACCGATGCGAGCTGGACGCCTCAATTCATTCAATAATAACCGAATACCCTGAGCCCAACTAGTTCGAGCTTCGTTTGGAAATGATGTTTGTAACTGTTCAAAAAATTGATATGCTTCATCAAATAAGCCACGATCCAGTGCTGCAAATGTAATTTTTCAGAGTCTACTGATTATAAATTAAAAACTAATGCGGAGATCAAGCAAAGTTTCGACAAATAATACACATTGTAATTAACTATATGGACTCATTATTACATAACTAGTCAACACAAATCGGTGCGACAATCATAAATGTATATTTATTGTCTTATTTGTGCTCCATTTATCATGATCTGTTTATTTATATCACTTAGGTGAATTTCTAACAGCCTTCATACTGGGAAATATATTAAGATTTCAGAATAGCAGATAACGATTGCTTGTTCATCAAGAAGGAATCACGTTCAGGGAATTTAATATGTTTAAGCAACATGAAAACCTTATCTTACCATCAACAACAAAATTCAGTTTCTTGATGCAACTATCTGTCACCTGTCCGGCATCCATTGATTCACCCAGATGATTTATACGCAGCTGGATTCCGTCTCTAGTGACTCCCTAAAAATAATATATCGTCCACTAAGCAAAATATTTAAATAAATAACAAAAGCTCATGAAACTTTCTAGAAGGATTTTCATAGTTTGTTTTAAAATGACTTTGATTTTAAGGGTCTCTACTCTATTAAGTAACTTTAAATGAATCTTTCTATAACAAAGTTTACTTTTTGCTTACTGAATCTATATTACACTCACCACAAGCAGCAACTACAACCAATAAAGAGGTAAGATATATAATACAATGAACCAAACAAAAAAAAGTTACAAATGGGAGCCTATATGTTGCTTTGATCAAAAATTGGACAAGCTGAGGACCACTCAAAGACACATCACCAGCAGCCTTTACAGGTGCTACATAATCAGTTGGATATGGCGATGTAGCAGGCCTTCTATTATTTTCACTTATCACCTGAAAGTATAAGGAAAAATAATCAGAAAAATGTTTTCGCACATGTATATATAAACGTATATATATATATATATATATATATATATATATATATATATATATATATATATATATATATATATATATATATATATATATATATATATATATA